AGGAAGGAAGGAAGGAAGGAAGGAAGGAAGGAAGGAAGGAAGGAAGGAAGGAAGGAAGGAAGGAAGGAAGTTAGTTGAGCCTATCAGTTCTGTCCCTGTGAGCCTGGAAGAAGAGTTCTGTTGACAGATGGACCGTTTGCATTGGCTGCCTGTGATGGACCCAGAAGACCTACTCACACATGGAAATGATGTTCTTTTTGCACCAGAGTCTCCTTGTTCCTGAATACAGTTAGTCATGTGTCACTTAATAATGGGGATACATTCCGAGAAATGCATCATTAGGTGATGTCGTCCTTGTGTGAACATCACAGGGTGTACTTACACAAGCTTAGATGGCATAGCCTACTACACACCTAGGTGTATGGTGTAGCCAATTGTTCTTAGGCTAAAACCTGTACAGCATGTTACTCTACTGAATACTGCAGGCAATTGTAACACAATGGCAAGAATTTGTGTATCTAAACCTTAAAAAGACACAGGAAAAACACAGTATGAAAGATTAAAAATGGCACACCTGTGTAGGGCACTTCCCATGAATGGAGCTTGCAGGATTGGAAGTTTCTCTGGGTGAGTCGGTGAGTGGGTGGTGAGAGAATGTGAAGGTTTAGGACATTGCTGTACACTGCTGTAGACTTTAGAAACACTGTACTCTCAGGCTAAATTTATTTCAACATTTTTTTCTTTAATAATAAATTAACATTAGCTTAATGTAACATTTTTACTTTATAGATCTTTTCATTTTTAAAATTTTTTGCTCTTTTCTAATAACAGCTTAAAACACAAACACATTTTACAGCTATACAAAAATATTTCCTTTCTGTATGTTCTTATTGAACAAGAGTTTTTTCTGTTGTAATTTTTTTTTTTTTAACATTTTACACATTTTTGTTCAAAACTAAGACACAAACACACACATTAGCCCGAGCCTCTGCAGGGTCAGGATCGTCACTATCACTGCCTTCTTGTCCACATCTTGTGCTGCTGGAGGGACATCGGGGCAATAAGACGCATGGAGCTGTCATCTCCTAGGATAACAGTGCCTTCTTCTGGATACCTCCTGAGGGACCTGCCTGAGGCTGTTTTACAGGTAACTATTTTTTCCTAAGTAGGAATACACTCTAAAATAACCATTAAAAATATAGTAGTAAATACATAAGCCAGCAATCTAATTGTTTATTATTATTATCAAATATTATGTATTGTATGAAATTGTGCTATTCTTTTACAGGCCTGGCAGTGCAGGAGGTATGTTGACATCAGCACCACCACAAACATGTGGGTAATGCGTTGTGCTATAATGTTATGTGCTATGGCTGGAAGAAGTCCCTGTGAGCTTGGAAGAAGAGTTCTGTCGACAGATGGACCACTTTGAATTGGCTGCCTGTGATGGACCCAGAAGACCTACTTACATAAGGAAATGACATTCTTTTTGCACCGGAGCCTCCTTGTTCCTGAATACAGTCAAGTGTCACTGTATTTGCGACATGTGGAAGAAACGAAGGTGCTACCCTTCAAAGGCATGACTGAGCCTAGGAAATGGGAGGGTGGGGCAGGTGGAAGCTGTTTGCACCTTCTCCCAAACCCAATTACTTAACAACGGGGATGCGTTCTGAGAAATGCATCATTAGGTGATTTCGTCATTGTGTGAACATCGTAGGATGTACTTACACAAGCTTAGATGGTATAAGCCTTGCCACTTGGTGATAGGAATTATTCGGCTCCTTTATAATCTGAGGGAGTCACTGTGGTGTATGTAATCTGTCATTGACCAAAATGTTGTTCTGACCATAGATCCTCACAACCCAGGTGTCCTCTGGAGAGATGTCCCATCGTTGGGGGATTGTGAAAGGAAACTGGAGAAAGGCAGTCAAGAGACCCAAGAATGACAGTCTGTGAAGACATTTTTCAGGGTGAAGAGAAAGTAAAGACTTGGCTGCAGAGGGGGACCCAGGGCCTTTGCAGCCAGGAGCCTGAGGCCTCAGCAAGGCAGACAGTGCCTGCTGACCCTGCGTCGCCACCAGCTGCGGTCGTGCCTCCACCAGCAGGAGCTCCTCCTGGAAGCGGGGTGGGGAACGTCTTCCATGGAGTTGGCCCAAGGGCACTTTCTCTCTGCCACAGGCTGGAGAGTCATCTCCTGCTCTCTCAACTGTGAAAACATGCTGATGTGGCCAAGGGAAACAAAATGCCCCTCCCTGCCTGCGAGTTCAATCCATGTCCCTTTAACAGCTGGCGGAGATGGAGAACAGCATCTCCTTCCAAACCAATGACTGTTTTTTTTGGATCCCCCTCCAGCACCCCAATCCCAGGACTCGGGGCTTCCTGGTGAAAGCTGCTGATTTTTGTGACCTCTTGGATGGATGCCTTGTGTCCCAAGGGCAAAGACCACGCTCAGATCCCTGGCTGGGGCCTCACTTCTTGGCCGCCTGTCTGCAGCTCATGCTGCTGCCGCCTCCCCCGGGCTTTTTGGAGGATAATCTAGAAAGACTCAGCCTGGTATGCATAGGGAACGGAAAAACGAATGATTCTGGAACTGGCTGGATCTAATTTAAAATCCTGGCTCCGCAACATGCTGGCTGGGTGACTGTGGGCAGAGGCTCGCTCCCATGTGTCAGGCACCCTATAACTTCTCCAAGAGCCCTGCAGATTCAGAATATCAACCCCACTGGGTTGGGGGAGGCGGAAGAGCTGCCCAGGCTACCCAGCCAAGGCAAGACCAAGCTGGATTTGAGCCCTTGCTGTTCTGACCACAAAGCCACCCTCTGTTGTCCACATGACACTCTAGTGCCACAGGCTGGGAGTGCCCCAGGAGCACTGGAGTTCCTGTAGGTCCCATAGCTCTTCCTGTGGGTGGGGGTGAGGGGTGCACAGGAAACTCTTCCTGCCTGGAGAAGGTGCATGCACACGTGCGTAAGGTATGCATTCTACTCATGGGTGGCACATTTATTTAACTATTCCTTTACAGTCAGACATGGCGATCACTTCCAGTTGTTTACTATTCATCAGCAAAGCTGTGTAAAATGTTCAAAATCCCAAGTCTTTTCTCCATTCCTACTTCCTTATGAGACATACCTGGAAGCCGAATCACTGTGTCTCTGTATGAAAAATTCAGGCCTTAAATAAAATACCTGTTGTTAAATTGCCATCAATAAGGGCTCTGGTGGGACTTATACTCCCCCTACTCAGAGACTTTTTCCCCGTAGCTGGAGGCTGTTTGTGAGTTAAGGTCAAGGCTATGTTGTTTTGATCTTTGGTTAAGACTGACTAAATACCCAGTGTGTGTATGTGCGTGCGTATGGGGGGAGGGGAGGGCTGCAAAATCAATTTCTACTACAAAAGGGCACCCTCAGTGCCCTCTCCTCTGTTTTCCCAATCTATTGTTTAAATCCCATGGTGCATAGGCAAATGCACAGAGAATGTAAGGAAATGAAAAAAAAACCAAACCAAAACAAAACAAAAAAAAAACAGAGAGGAAAAAGTAAAAAGAAGAATCTTGCCTGGGATAGTGAGTATATAAGAGGTTTTCTTTTTCTAGTCAAAATTTTTTTTAGTAAAAATGGGAGGGGAGGGAGAGGATATCCTTAGCCAGACTATGAACCCAACTCTCTTAGATGTTAGACACTTGGGAAGAGACAGGCCCTGTCAATTAATTTTTAAGGTAAAAAATACGCAAATCTTTTTGTTCTAACTGGTAACTGAAGTCCAAGTGTGGTCTGTCTATCCTCTGGCAAGGCAGGCTGCTGACTTTTCTCTCTGGCTGTGCACCTGTGTGCAGGTGCCTCTCAGGTGTCATGCATTGAAGTGAAGTTACTCTGACCCAGCCTCTGAAGAGGACAAAGTGGCTCTGATGCTGCTCCAGTGAACACTCCGTCGGCTGAAGCACGGATGCTCAGGCTCTGGCTGACCAGGGCAAGCGTGGGGTAAGAAAGAGCAGCCGTATCTGGATGTGCAGGCCAACGATGCCCAGTAAGGCTGCATTCCTCAAACCCCAGGGACAGGGAGCCATGAACTCCACCTGGTGACCTTCAGATTCTGCCCTGCACTTAGCACGGTACGCGGGGAGGGCAGATTTCATCTTCATTTTACTTCTGGCCTCCTCAATCACTGGGAATGGTGATGCCAGGACTTGACTGTAATTGGAGATAGGCCCTTTAAAGAAGTAATTAAGTTAAAATGAAGCTGGTAGGATGGACCCTGATCCAAACTGATGGGAGCTCTTATAAAAAGAGGAAATTTGGATGAAGAAGAAATACCAGGAGGTCTTGTTTATAGAGGGACAACCACGTGGAGAGACAGTGAGAGGGCGGTCGTCTGCAAACCAAGGTGAGAGGCCTCAGCAGAAACCAATCCTACTGACACTTTGATCGGGACTTTGAGCCTCTAGAATTGTGAGACATAAATTTCTGTTAAGCCACTCAATTCATGGTATTTTGTTTTGGCCATCCTAGCAAACTAATACAACCACCCTCTCTCATCTCACACACGATTTAATAAAATTGGAGTCATTCTGCATTCCAGTTCTGTATCATGCTTTATTCACTTTACCTCTGCATTGCCAGCCCTTTCCTGTGTTCATGGTTCCCTGCTGAACAGGAGGATAAGGTTTGAATGCCACAGCCCAGCACTCATGATCATCATGGACAGCCCTTCTCCTACCCAGCCATGCTGATTTGCTCTCTGTTTCCCAAATTCTCTGTCTTTTCTGCTCCTGCCAGCCCCTGGCATCCATTAAAAGTGATTTTCCCTACTGTCATTCGGGGCATGGCTCATACTGAAACCTGTCTTGCCATGTATCTCTCGTCATGGCAGGGCATTTATAAATCAACCTGTGTCTCCAGCATTTACCATACTCCCTTGTAACACATGTTACGTCTTCACCCAGCCTTAGGAGACGGTGATTATTTTAAAAGGAGGATTGAGAATTGTTAGCCTGTTCTGGCATTGCTATAAATAAATACCTGAGACTGGGTAATTTATAAAGGAAAGAGTTTTAATTGGCTCATGGTTCTGCAGGCTGTACAGGAAGCATGATGCTGGCATCTACTGCACTTCTGGGGAGGCCTCAGGAAACTTACAGTCATGGTGGAAGGTGAAGGGGGAGCAGGGATCTTACATGGTAGGAGCAAGAGAGAGTGAGGGAGGCAGTGCTACACACTTTTGAAAAACTAGATCCCCCAATAACTCACTACCACAAGAATAGCACCAAGAAGATGGTGCTAAACCATTCATGAAGGACCACCCCCATGATCCAATCGCCTCCCACCAGGCGCCACTTCCAAAACTGGGGATTACAATTCAACATGAGATTTGGGGTGGGGACAAAAATCCAAATCATATCGAGAATTACAGGCATAATTAAATTACTCCTTGGTCCCTGTCTCTGACTGCCATTAACATTAGAGAAAGGGTAATACATCTTCATTAAGTTGGGTTTATCCCAGGAATGCAGCTTGGTTAAGCATTAGAAACCCAATCAATGTAATTTACTCTATTAACAGAACGAAGGATTAAAATAATAAAATCTTTTCAAGGAATGCAAAAAGCATTTATCAAAATTCAATATCCACTCATGATAAAAACTCTCAGCAAACTAGGAACAGTAGGAAACTTCCTTAAAATAATAAAGGCATTTACAAAATTCCTGCAGGTTGCATCATACTTAATGGTGAAAGCCTGAACTATCTCCTAAATCCATTTACTCCTCCTCAGGAAAGGCTTCCCTGACCCCATGTTTAAGTCAAACCCTCACTATACATTCCCTTAGGACCAGCCTCTCATCCAAAGAAGTGATCATAATTGCAATTTAAAATGTATTTGTGGTCGGGTGCGGTGGCTCATGCCTGTAATCCCAGCACTTTGGGAGGCCAAGGCAGGTGGATCTCTTGAGGTCAGGAGTTGAAGACCAGCCTGGACAACATGGTGAAACCCCATCTTGACTAAAAATACAAAAATTAGTTAGGTATAGTGGTGCGTGCCTGTAATCTCAGCTACTTGGGAGGCCAAGGTGGAAGGATCACTTGAGTCTGGGAGGTGGAGGCTGTAGTGAGCCAAGATCATCCCACTTCTCTCCAGCCTGCGTGACATGGTGAGACTTGGTCTAAAAAAAACATATTTCTGCCACTATTTGCTTAATGTTTGTTTTCTGGTGTAGGCATTCAGCTCTGTGAACAACAGCATTCTGCTGATTTCTGCTGCCCTGTATCCAGATGGCAGAAACGAGTGAGTGAATGACAGGCACCTGTTCTGCTTACAGTCAGTAAAGTAAACACAATGCTATACATATGAACTCCATGGAAAGATGAACACTTGTGGTATATTTGGGGCCACTGTCCCAGGGAGAGTAGAAGTACAGGGTTTTGTTCTTCTGACTTGAGAAATTTTTGTGCTAGAATGGCCACTGAGGGTCATCCAGGCCTATCGTTGCCCACTCCAAATTTATAGATGAGGTCACTAGCACCTGAGATCTGAAGCATGCGTGTCATCCCAAATGAACCACAAATCCTAGGCCAGAGTTAACAGTAGTAGTAACTGCACAGGATGAGTTGGTGCAGGGTGACAAGCTCATGCGTGGTAGCTATTTTGAATCAATACCCTGTAACTGACTTCTGCTGTTTGAAACACCTGGTAGAGTGCTGCAACTCACCCTTGGGTAAAGCCCCACCCTCTGAGGCTGTGGTGGGGTTCAGGGAATACTACCCCAAAATTTGGCAGGTTGGCATTGGAGAAAACGGCAGAAGCAGGAAGGCCTCTCACCTTCTCCTCACCCTTCTTTTCCTGAAGCAGGCCATGACACCAAGCTGACCTTCCCCTGGAGCAAGTCATAAGGTCCTTGTGTGAGAGGTGCCTTGCTGAGTTCCCCCTTGTATTTAACTATTAGATCATACTCCCTTTGTCCAATCACACTTCTCCACTATGATCCACTTCTCCATCAAACTTACAATAAAAACACACAGGTGTCCCTCTTTCTTTCTTTCTTTCTTTCTTTCTTTCTTTCTTTCTTTCTTTCTTTCTTTCTTTCTTTCTTTCTTTCTTTCTTTCTTTCTTTCTTTCTTTCTCTCTCTCTCTCTCTCTTTCTCTCTTTCTCTCTTTCCTCTTTCTCTCCTCTTTCTCTCTTTCTCTCTTTCTCTCTGTCTTTCTTTCTTTTTGATGGAGTCTAGCTCTGTCACCCAGGCTGGAGTTCAATGGTGTGATCTCAGCTCACTGCAACCCCCACCTTCTGGGTTCCAGCAATTCTCCCACCATAGCCTCCCCAGTAGCTGGGATTATAGGCACCCACCATTGTGCCTGGCTAATTTTTTAATTTTTGTAGAGACTGGGTTTCACCATGTTGGCCAGGCTGGTCTCAAACTCCTGACCTTAGGTGATCCGCCTGCCTCAGTCTCCCAAAGTGCTGGGATTACAGGTGTGAGCCACTGTGCCCAGCCTCTTTGAGTCTTTTTTCCTGATGTCTCATATGTCACATAAAATTTAAATTAAATAAGTTTGATGTTTCTCTTGTTAATCTGTATTTTGCCATAGGTGCCTCAGCTATGGACCTAGTAATGGATAAGAAAAAATTTTTTTTTTCTTTCCTGCATCTGCTTGGCCACCTGCCTTTTGCTTGGATTGGCAGAAATCTGGCTTAATCTGGCTTCTCTAGTCCTCTGTCACCTGGCCAGGAGGTAGCCCTTGGTCTAACCCCTTCTCATGTTTGGAAGCAGACTTTCACTTTCTTTCTAAGGACTGGTAGGCAGCTTACCATGGATGGAGTGATAGCTCCAGAATATCTTCATGTGATGGCTGTTGGAGCGAGAAGTGGGCTGGCAGATTGTGCTGGCATCGACCTTGTGTAGGGCTGAGAAGACAATACTGGTGTGAAGATCAGGCAGGAGTCAGGAAGACAGCTGGGAGTGGCCAAGGGGAGGCCAGAGCCTCTTCAAGTCATCTCTTGATGGGTGTGAAAGGGAGAGAAGAGGCCAAGAAACCATGAGATTAAAAGGTGGAGGTGAGAGCATAGAGATCCCAGCTGCTCTAGGGGAGCCTCCCAGGCATGTGCTGTGAGCATGTGCTTCTCCACTGTTCCTTCTGCAATGCGTTCCATCCAACTGCTAGATACGGTAAAGGGAATGAAAGGCAGGAAAGGCACAGGGTGTATTTAATCCACCCTTCAGCTGTGAATTCTCTAGAGGATAGGCTAGCGCTTGTGTTTGTTGATGCAGCTGCCTCTCTTCTGAGACCTGTAAAAGGACTTTTTTTTTTTTTTTAAGTAAAATCATGACTTTTACCCACATGTAGAATGAACACATGTCAAAGATTTTATTTAAGTCATTAATTAATGAGGGAACCAGTAAGATGCTCCAACCAGTCCAAAGGAGAATTAAAAATGCCACAAATAGCTGGGACAATAGGAATGCTGACATAGAATTTACAAATAGATGCAAAATTGATGATAGCCACTGAACCGTCTGTCCACATGTCCATGGACAAGGATAGTTGGCCTTCCCTGGGTCTTTTACAACTTACAAACTGAGGAAAGTATAGGTCCTCCTTCTTCCTTGCTGACCATTCATGGGTCAGCCTCCATCTGGACATCAACACTCTGGAGACATGTGGCCACTGCAATAATTGACTGAAATCAGTAACTACACAATTTCTCCCTCTTTTTGCTGGTCCGTGTTCTTGTCTAGAGAGTTGCTTTCCTCTCCAAGTAAAAGTTGTTCAAGAGCTTAAAGGCAGTGAAGGGCAGAGAGAGCCAGGATGTGAAGACTTTCCCATTTTACCATCTTTCACAGATCCATGTTGCAGCTGGGAGCGAGGGGAAACCTGGACACTCGCTTCACCAAAATGAGACAACTGCAGCAGGAGACAGGCTAAGGCGAGTGGGGAAAAATCAATGTGCTGGATGCCCCAGTGTACCTGTGAGGAAGAAGCAGGAGCTGGAAAGAGAGAGGAAAAGGAAATAGATATGTGAATAAATAAATAAGAGTTCAGAAACCCTGTCTCTACTGAAAATACAGAAAATTAACCAGGCGTGGTGGCTGGCGCCTGTAGTCCCAGCTACTCAGGAGGCTGAGGCAGGAAAATGACGTGAACCCAGGAGGCGGAGCTTCCAGTGAGCTGAGATTGTGCCACTGAACTCCAGCCTGGGTGACAGAGCAAACAAAAAAAAAAAAAAAAAAAAAAATTCAAAAGAAGCGTAGAAGAGGCGAGGGAAGAACTCTATTTGCACATTCACTCTTCAGTTCATTTCCTCATTCATTTTCTGAACAATGAATCTGGCCCTGTGCTGGATTCTGGAGCATAAAGACTAAATCAGCTGAACAAAGACCCTGATCACTAACATCCTAGTGGGAAAGGCACATTGTGTATTAAGCTGAGTAATCACCACCTCCCCACCATGTCCACATCCTGTTCCCTGGAACATGTGAATATTATCGTGTATGGCAAAATGGACTTTGC